CCAGTCTAAGCCCGCACTGGGGATATTTGTCTCCCATAATCAATGTTACCCCCATCCCATCATCCCATTTCGTACTGTACTGTGCCGCTCACCTTCTCGAGGTGTTTTTTTTTTTTTGCCGTTTTTTTCTCTTTCCTTTTCCGAAAGTCTGACTGCATTTTCTCGCCACTGTACAGTCCCACCAACACCTTCTTTGCAAGCACGGTCTTTTGCCTCATTTGGTAACCCGAAGGACGGGCTTTTGAGACCTTGTAACCTGACTTACAGAAGTGAAACATGACAACATCAACAACACTCTCACACACACAGCTTTGGTGATGTGTGCAACAAACCCCTGACTTTTGTTGTCCAAAAAAGAAAGAAAAAAAGATCGGGGCAAAAAAAAAAACAAAAAAAAAAAGAAAGATGGTGTCATGCCTTGTTGGTGTCCTGTTACCATCATCGTCTTTTCAACCGCGCGTAAAAAAGTAGCATGTGTCCTGTGTCTTGTGTATTAACGTAAGCGCCACGCATGTCTTTTCATCTTGTGCGTTTGATAGGGGACCTACACAGAAATCCAACAAAAGAAAAACAAAAGAAGCCCGACGTATTGTATGTAGTGTATAATAAGCCCGATAACCCCATCGGTCACCGCACACACGTTCAAAACCTGTTTGGGTCCCAAAGCAAAAAAGAAAAGAAAACTGCACAAGTTGCGGCCACTGTGTGCTTACACCAAACCACCCAACCCCAGCCAAACACATTCCCAGATCCAAAGCATCGGTGTTAGGCAGTTGAGAAGCCACTGCCGAGGTAACCGAGAAAGAAAAAAAACGTCCCGTCCGCGTCCCTGTCCTCGGTGTCTTTGCGCCCTGTCACATCCCTCGACGATGCATGTAAGGGATGAGAGGAACCGTGACCGGTGAAGGATATGACGACGAGATGTTTCTTTTTTTACATTAGTCTCGCGGGGGATCGTCTCTCCCCGGGTTCCTCTTGTATCTCAGACATAACTATGCAGTGAGATATCTCATGCAACAGCACAGATGTTCTCCCCGCCCGATCTTGTATCAAAAAAGGGTATCCCCCTTTTTCTTCCCGCGTCTGTGTGTATCCCGAAGTCTGAGATCAGGACGCCGATGGGAAGGACAGAAGCATACTCGGGGACGTCGGGGATAGATCACGAGACCTGGGAAGTGAAGCCTTTTGCTTTTTGTGTTGTTGATCCACATTGTTCAAGTGCCACCAGTTTGACAACTTGTGTCACTGACACAAGGTCAAGACATGTGCCGAAAGAAAAAAATAAACGGACCGAACTGTCGGGACCATTCCCACTTGCTCCAGTCTTGGACATATTTCATAGCCTTTGCGTGATTGTCGCCACGGTGACCGACTGTTTCCAAGAATAATACTTTGCTGTGAAGCGATGAGTCGACACTGATAACTAACCGGCAACATCCTAGTGCGAGACCGGAGTCATCAAGAAGGCTTGACAAGGCAGAGCCTGACACAATGGAGGTTGTGTTAAACATTGGATCTCCGGTGGAGCCCCGACAATCCCTGTGATCTCCGCTCCGAGGCGGGAGATTCTCCCGAATTGCCTGGCTATAAACATAGAATCCTTACCCACTGGCAAATTCCTAGACGTCAGCGAAATCTCGAATTCAGTCATCCTCGACAAAAAGTCGGGACACAGCCCCCCCGTGGGTGGTTGTGTGGATAATAATGAGAAAGAGAGTTTAAAGCAATTCAACACCCGGATGTCTCCGAGGCTTGCCCCTCTGTAAAAGCACACACTGTGTGTAGCTGTGCCAAGAGTGGTGTAGAAGAGAAACAAAACATCACGGAAGGCTGTTGGAACCCCCGTGCACGTCCCCACTGAGACCCCCAATATCTCTCCTGTGTGGGAGGCAGGCAGAATCCCACATGAAGAAAAAAAGACTTGCCGTGATATCTCGGCCAAACTCCCGGCATTGGATCAAAGCTGGGCAAGGCTTCGGTTGCAGCCATATGCTACCCCTCCTGATAACCCATAGCACCGAGATAAGAGCTTTCGGATCAGAACCCTGCTGCGGCTAGCGTACCTGCAGCAATCGCCGTGCCATTCCCACCAAGCAACTGGATGATGATGATGATGATGATGACGACGAGGGGTCATCGAGACTACCGTGGGCCTGAGCAGATTCGGGGTCTGCCAACGCCAGGCACATTGATCTGAGACCCCTGCTGCACCGCCGCCAACCTCCAAAAACCGGGCTTACCCGTCAGGGTCGAGATACGGGGGACAAGAGTTTTCCCATATCTTGGAAACCAAGTCGGAGTCTTTCACTGTGTGCCTTATCAAACAAAGGTGCTGTACCTTTTTCCGAACCAGCGTGCGTGTGAGACGTGACCTGTCATTCCCTACACTATGCCACCATATCAAGAGGTGAGGTGGTATTCCTAGCATGATCGACAATGCACGTCACTAATCTCGTCCTCAAGTCCGTGGCAAAGGGGCAGCTGGTAGCAAACAGGCTCGCTTCCAGACGATGGGCCTGCTTGTGGCCGTGCATCCCGCACCGGTCAAAAAGATTCCCATGTCCCGCGGACGACGGGATATTGGCCGGCGGCAGGCGGCCGGCACCTCGGTCAACGCTGGTGCAGCAGACAGGGTGCATACGAGATATGCTTGCTCTACCCAGATGCGTCTGGCGTCACTCCGAGGATGCAGCAATCTGTCGAGGGTGCGGTAGAGATATGCCGCCCAGATCGAAAGCGGGGGGGTGGTGCAGACGAGATGGCCGGCAGTGCTGCCAATGCACGGATGTCATGATGGCCGATGATAGGAGTCTGAGATGGAAGCTCTCTTGAGGTGGTACAAGGCAATGTTGCCAGACTGAGAGAGTTAATAATAATGAGCGAGTTGAGTGTATTTTGTTGATGAGATTCAGGTCTGATGTACCAATGCTCTGAGGAACCCCCACGCCCGGGCGGCCGAACCTAAAAGGCGTTTGAATGGCTCGGACGGCCTGATATTGCGTGCCGGTCCAGGGCGGGCGGGTTTCCAACACGGGCAAGTCATGGTAGCTGCGGACCAAGGCCCGGATGATGCACCCAGCGATCGATAGCAGGCCGGGGAGCATACGAAAGTTCCACGGGCCGATCGCTCGTGTTTTTGGTGCCCTATCTTGAAGATGACCCTGTTGGTGGGCTTTGAGGCAGCTGAGGCAGAGGTCGACGACACCTTGATGGCTCGATAGTACCACCCTCCCTGCTGTGCCTGGCCGCCGGTGGAGCTTGGGGGGAGAGCTTGGAGGACCCTGATGGAGATTGCTGAACAATCCGATCCATCCGCGATCCACAGACCCAGTCCCGGCGCAGATCGTTCATGGCGTGATGTTCTTTACAGACCTTGGCATCGGGTTGTCTGGTGTTGGTAGAAATCCGTGAGCTTGCTGGTTCATCAACAGACGGTGAGGCGGCCGTGACGGTTGTGGAGTGGACGCCAAGACTTAGGCTGTGGAAAATGAAAGAAATTTTTTCCATGACAGCGGGATTCGGGTCTGATGAGGCTGGAACATGGTGATGTGACTGGACCAGAGCAACTCGGTGTGATGATCAAGTGAACCAGAAAATGTCAACATGGTGGGCAGTGTGAATTTGGCATTTCCCCAGAATTGTTGGAGGGGAATCAGCACCTGATTGGCCAGATGCCCTCCACCTCGTGGTCCGCCTTTTTCCTTGTGCGCTGCTGCGAGGTACTGACTGAAAACAGAAAGCAGCTCTCTCATCAAGGTTCTTGAAAAATCACACAATGCCACCGAATTATCCGGTGACAATCTGACAGATTCCCAAATATCACAACATTCTCTCGCAACATTGTCTGTGCTGCCCGGCCCAGCCATTGTCCCAGATTCCACCATCGCCCCCACGAAATTTGTCACCGGACCGCTTCATCGCAGACAAGGCCTGTCCCGCTCGTCTTCTGGGGACCCTGGCCCGTCACTGCCCAGTGATCTGGGGCCGAAAGATGGGGCACTCCTCACACTGTGTGCAAAGATAGGTTCAATTGACGTTTGCATCATGGGGTTCACCCACCCCAC